TTATTAGTATAAAATAAAGTCGTGCGAAGCCAGGGTGCAGCTGGTTTGAATTATTAAGTTAAATTACACGACTTCTGTGATAATTTAACTAACATTCGAAACAGAATGTCAGTCAAAAAAAGTCAATATTTACAAAACGCAGCACGTGTTTCTGTCTATTTACGTAATAAAATAAACAACACAACCTCGCCCTTAACCACATTGACATAAGGGTCACACAACAAGGATAAAAGTGGGAAGCTGAACTTTAGGTTTCAGTGTTGACAATCCCTTGCCATTCGACATTGGACTCTATTTCAATACGATTAAAGTTTAAAATAGGTTGAACATTAAAGTCTACCAGTCATCGACCAAGTAACGTTCTGTCAATAGAAAATTGGCTCTAAAATTGAGAGCATAGAGTTGATTGTAGTAGATCTGCTTCAAAGGGCCATTAACATTGGTTTTGTATGGAATTAGATGAAAACAAACCAAGTCTGGGATATGTCAGGGGTGGGTTTTGAGTCAAGTCGTTACTCACGAGTCTAATTCAGTTATTTTGAATCATTATGCGGTTATTGTCTAGGTATTAATTAAGAACAAAGGAAAGGGAAATGTCAATCACATACACAGAAATAAAGATAAATTCTTTATACAAAGTGTGCCCAAAATTAACACGTCATAAAGACACTAGAGGGTAGAATTTTGTCCAATGACCCCGAGCTACCCATCCTTATCGCTCGCGGGTAGCTTGGGGTCATTGGACAAAATTCTACGTGCTCGTAGACCAGACTATAGCTGGGCCTAAGATGCATCGAAAAAGTCTAACTTGTCCTCAGAAAAGTTCCATAAGTTTTGAGATAAGACCAATTTTGGTTAATGATGTCCCTAGAAAAGTTTAATGTGTTGGAAACCAACAAGGAGTTTTTATACTTTTTATTACCTTTTCTTCTAAACAAAATAAAATCACTTCTTCACTTTGACAGCTGAAAGAAAGTCGTTTTATTCATACATTTTATCCATATTTTAATACATTAGTCCAATAATTCATACATTCAATAGTTAATTTATGTCTTATGCAACATAAATTTGGTGCCGAAACCCGTACATAATTCACATTGGTTTTTTTGTGTGCTGCTGGAAAATTATCCCGAGGGCCAACGCCGGCATAGTTGCCGATTGCAGTAGGTATAATGGCTACCCAGGTTTGTGGTGACACTAACCAAAAAACCAAGCTTTTACAAGGGCAGTGCAAGGCCGCTATAACACGATGTGTTACCTTTTTGAACAAGAAGACGGACCCGAGTGTTTTCGAGTTGACGAACAGAAGGAAAGCAATAGAAGAAGCGTTCGCGCGCTACCACCAGCTGGCGGACGAGGCCATTCTGCAAGGCCAGGAGGTGTTGGACGGTGAAGAGGAGTTCGAGGACCGCTATTACGATGTCCTTTCCCGGATCGACGCTCTTCTGGACCGCCGCAGCAGTGCTTCGCCGCTGGGGTTTGCGAGTGCCGTGGACGCTTCGACGCCGCTGTTCGAGACCACGAGGCTGCCTCCGATAGAAATCCAATCGTTTGACGGTAACAACGTCTGTACATACAAGCCATTCATGGAGCTTTTTATGGCATTAATAGGCAAAAACTGTAAGTTATCCAATGTACAAAAATTATATTATTTAAAGGGCTATTTAAAGGGCGAGGCTTTGAATCTTGTAAATAATCTGCCTCTCATAAACCAGTCGTACGATGATGCTATTGCTTTGTTAAATAGGAGATACGACACTAAGGGACTAATGATTAAAACGCATATTAGTGCTCTTTTAGATCTGCCTAGTATTACGCGTGGCACTGCCCAGGCCATTCGTTCCTTAGTGTCACAGATTTCGCAGCAAATGAGCGCGCTACGTAGCTATGATGAACCCGTTGATAGCTGGGACTCCATATTGGTTTGCATCATAATGAAGAAATTAGATTCACTGACTGTAAGATTGTTTAATGCAGAGCAGGACGTTCGTAGCATGCCCAGTATGGAGTCGCTGCTGAGTTTTCTAGAGAGACGTGCTATCTCGCTCGAGGCTAGCTCGGCTTGTGACACGAGCCGTACAGAAAGACCTTCGTCGATGTCTTTTCATATTCCAACATGTAATACAAAACCTAATCCAAAGTGTAATAATGCAAAATCAAGAATGATTCCTTGTTTATTGTGTAAAAATGACTATCACAAATTGTACAAATGCCCTACTTTTTTATTGATGACTAATTCAGAAAGGCTTTCATATGTAAATAATTACAATTTATGTAAAATATGTTTAAATAAGCATGCACAAAAATGTAGATACAATTTTACATGTTCCTTATGCAAAGAGAATTCGCATAATTCTTTAATACATAATAGCTCATTTCTACAATTAAAACCTGTACATATTAATTCATTGCATGCATCCAACACTGTAAATAATCATTCATGTGAATCTGTACATACTCATTCAAATAATAATTCAAAGGTTTTGTTTCCCACTAAATATACACAAAGGCAAAATATGACAAAAATGCCTCATGTCGTCAAGACTGTAGACTCATGTAGTCAAACTTCTTTTTGTAATCAGGCCTTAGTCGTCATGCCAGGTCTTCATACATATTATAATACAAAGGCTTTTCATACAATGGGTCAAACTTGATGGTGACTTGATCCGTCCATAAATGTCAATATTTTTATTTTATACAAGTGCGGAAACTTTTGTTTTAATTACTATTAATTTCATTATAATAATAATTTTATTAAGTATTCAATTATTTTCGATAAACGACAAGTGTTTTGTGTTTCTGTTAATTGTTTATGATGTGTTAGATCGCATACGATTCGAGAATGTAATGTTACATAGACCGGTCTACATATTTCATGATTGTTTTGATTTACTACATCTGCAAATGTTATCTTTCATAATTGTATTTTAAGAGTAATTGCAAGTTCAGTCAGTTTAATCATAAGTTTTTATTCATTGTTTACTTAATACAAATAGCTTTAATTCTAGTGCGTGTTGCATATCGCGCGCGAGACTATGTTGGAAACCAACAAGGAGTTTTTATACTTTTTATTACTTTTTCTTCTAAACAAAATAAAATCACTTCTTCACTTTGACAGCTGAAAGAAAGTCGTTTTATTCATACATTTTATCCATATTTTAATACATTAGTCCAATAATTCATACATTCAATAGTTAATTTATGTCTTATGCAACAAATGAGTTTTGAAATATGACTGATATTAGTTATTTTGATAGATTTGTTCGATGCGTATTAGGGCCTCTGGTGTCGTGCTAATTTTGGGTCATCCTGTAGAGTAAATTAGACTACCTTTCGTCCGCCCGCGACTTAATTTTTAGGTCTATCATAGAAACTAAAGCGCGTCTCGGGATAAAACACATACATTACCTCCTATTTTTTTCCCAACATTATAAAATATGAACGAAATTAAGTCACTACATTTGTGAATATCCTTCTTTTCCCCATAATTATGTCTTTTTACTTTAAACCCACCTGAACGAAAAGGAAATGCAATAACGGCAAAAGTAAACGCCACCAGAAATAGACGTTTCCTGTGCAAAGGTGCGCACGTGCTGCACCGGTTTAACTAAGTTGATATTATCTTCCAATAATTGAGGAACTTCTTCATGTGATCTTTCACAGTCTCCTTCGAGGTCTAATATGAAAAGTCACGAAAGTTACAGTTTTTACAAATACCTTCTAGTTAATCCATAATAGTTTAACCCTATCACTGCTTAGGGAAGAAAATTAATGGGGTAATCTATATATTTATAGTACACTAGCTTTTGCCCGCGGCTTCACCCGCGTGAAATTTAGTCTGCCACAGATCGTCATAAATTATAGCCTATATGTTATTCTGGGTTATAAACAATAATACTGTAAAGAGTAACAAACATCCAGACATCCAAACTTTCGCATTTATAATATTAGTAATATCACATGCATAACTCGTAAGAAACAAAGTAATAGGAAAGGGCAAAAGTTATAAAAAGAACCAGTTTTTTTTTATTGGTTACAGCAATGTGTGATATCCTTCCTAACCAACACCAGCTTGGCGCCTAGCGCATCCTGAAAAAACTTGTGTGAACCAAACAAAACTAAGATTCAATGTGTGACTGTGAAATAAAAATAAAACAGACAGATGTGGTGGAAAATTTATAGCGACTGCAATGTAACAGTTTTTATGTTGAAGATATTTTCATAATTGAAAAGGAGTGGAGATGAATGATAAAAGTCATTGAATAAAATAAGATAAATCTTACGGTACAGGAAATGCGGAAGGTGGTTCTATCCACGCTCGATAGATCAAGACAAAACAAACTAAAATAGTTCAATGACTAAAGTATTTTTGTCTAGAATATTTCAATTCATATTACAACAGAACTAGGGTTGGACCTAGTCCTTGATAAGGGCAGATCCTCATTGTTTTTCGGTGCCCCTTGGAAGTAACCACAAAACGTAACTGTCACATGCTTTAGGATTACTTACTGTCTATCTAGACGTATTTCAAGCTTTTATTTAACTTGTACTGTTCGTATCTATGTTTATAAGTTGTCCGTTAAAGTTTGCAATTTATGGATAGCAGATAGCATACCCTTACTATTTGCGAGCATACTAATCACCACATTCACCACCTCTTTATAACAAGTGGCTGTCCAGGGCAACAGGCGCTCCTTGCTGTAGTCCGGTCGCCGAGCACGAAGAATTTCGTCCAATGACCCCAAGCTACCCATCCTTATGGCTCGTGTGTTATTATTATATTGCTGTCGCGCTGCAAGCGATAAGGATGTGGATGGGTGGCTTGGGGTCATTGACGAAATTCTACGTGCTCGGCGACCGGACTTTATTTGGCATCTCACTGACCATGGCCTCTTAGAACACTGTCTGATTAAAGCTTTATTGTGATTCCGGGGTTGCAACCAACACTCCGACCATGACCTTAGAACACGTGTCTGACCAAACCTTTATTGTGATTCCAGGGTGGCAACCAACACTCCTCACCTGGTGAGCCTGGGCACGGGCCGGCTGAGCACGGCGGTTACCCTGCACCCCATCAAACAGGGTAAGTTTCTTTACTGTTATAACCCTCTATTAAAGTCTCAACTCAAGTGGGACACCATGTGAGCTGAGAGCGGTATCTTCAACAAAAGGAGGTTTTCAATTCGATTGTATAATTCATCATCATCATCTCAGCCATAGGACGTCCACTGCTGAACATAGTTTGGTATAATTAATGTCAGAAAATCACGAAAAAACTGTGGATTAAAGACATGAGGCTCTCCCCGTCCGAAGAGGAATGTCCCATTCCCACCATCATTGTTTTACTGTTGTATTTATTTACTCTAAGGCCTACACAAAAATCTTTGGATAAATCCTTAACTATCTCGTTCATTAGGCCGAGGATGCGCGCCGCGATAAATTTTTAGTTTTATCGCGTCATTTTATCGATTTTACGCGATAAGATTTTGTCACGGTGCATATTCTAGCCCGGCAGGCAGGACATAGACCAAGAGTGCCTTTAAAAAGGTCATCATAGATAGATATTATGCTAGATAGGATACTGTATTGAACTACATAAAACCAAAAGAAATACAACATTTAGGCGTTAGGAAACGACTTCTTCTAGACAATCCCGGGAAAGGATTAGTCTTTGGAATAACTGTGCGCCTCTTAGTTAATTAAATGCTAATTTGAGTAAAAATGCTATTTTATTAATGTGCAATACATATAAACGTCACTCACCCACAATCTTCACCTTCCAGGCCGCGTGACCATCGGCTCGGACCCGACATGCGACATCTACGTCCTGGGCACGGGCGTGTCAAACGTGCACTGCCGCGTAGAGAACTCGCATGGTGTGGTCACGCTATACCCTGTGAGTGGAAGCACCATGCTCGACGGTCTGCCTGTCGACAAGCCCACCAGGCTCTCGCAAGGTCAGTAAGTCTTCTGTTCTGTGTGTCCAAGCTTCTCAGGCTCCCTCAAGGTCAATCTTCGACTGTGTGAAGACAGACTTCAACTAGCGTGGCATGATGACGCTGTGCCCTCCTGTATTATCAAAACTCTCGCAAAGGTAGTCTTCTAGCGTTCTGTGTCCAGGATTTCTCAAGATCAGTCTTCTAGCGTGTGGGTCTAGGACAAGCCGACCCGGCTCTCGCAAGTTTAGTCTTCTAGCATCCGTGTGCAAACTTCTAGTGGAAAGCCTGGACATCCAGGCTTTTCCATGGTCAATCTTCATGCTTACATGCATAGATTTACATCGGTCCTCTCAATGCTAGTATTGAAGGCTCTCGCAAGGTTAGTCTTATGCCGCTTGTTTCTGTTCTAGCAATGCCAGTGTTCTCAAAAGCTTCTGCTGTGTGTCCACTGTCAAGGTCAGGCTTCTAGCATGTAAATCCAGACTCTCGTGGTCCTCTAGCGTGGATCTAGGCCAGGCTCTTCCAAAGACAAGTGTGTGAGTCCAGGCACTCCCAAGATCAGTCTTCGAGCGGGGCTCTAAGCTTTTGCAAGGTTACTCTTCTAGAGCTTGTATCCAGGCTCTCCAAAGGTTCTTCTAGGGTCTGTATCCAGGCTCTTTAATGGTTCTTCTAGCGTATGTGTTCAGGCTCTCACATGCGACATCTACGTCCTGGGCACGGGCGTGTCAAACGTGCACTGCCGCGTGGAGAACTCGCATGGTGTGGTCACGCTGTACCCTGTGAGTGGAAGCACCATGCTCGACGGTCTGCCTGTCGACAAGCCCACCAGGCTCTCGCAAGGTCAGTAAGTCTTCTGTTCTGTGTGTCCAAGCTTCTCAGGCTCCCTCAAGGTCAATCTTCGACTGTGTGAAGACTTCAGGCTAGGGTTGGAGAACTAGAACGGCGTGGTGACGCTGTAGCCTCCTGTATAAGGCTCTCGCATGGTTAGTCTTCTGGCGTCTGTGTCTAGGCTTTAACAAGGCTATTCTTTTAGCGTTCTCTATCCAGGATTTTTCAAGGTCAGTCTTCAAGCGGGCCTCTAAGCTTTTGCAAGTTTACTCTTCTAGAGCTTGTATCCAGGCTCTCCAAAGGTTCTTCTAGGGTCTGTATCCAGGCTCTTTAATGGTTCTTCTAGCGTATGTGTTCAGGCTCTCACATGCGACATCTACGTCCTGGTCGACAAGCCCACCAGGCTCTCGCAAGGTTAGTTAGACTTCTGTCCTTTTAGTGTACATGTCCAGGTTCCCCCAAGGTTTGTCTTATAGTGTGTGAGTCCAGGACAAGCTGACTCTGTTATTTAAGGGTAGTCTTATGCCACGTGTTTCTAAAACTGTTTTAAGATTAGTCTTCTACCGTGTGGGTCCAGGAAAAGCCCACCAGACTCTCCCAAGGTCAGTCTTGCTTGATGCTCTAAGCCAACCCGACTCTTGCAACATCAGTCTTCTAGCGTCTGTATCCAGGATCCCTCAAGCTTAGTCTTCTAGCATGTATCCTAGCCAGGCTCTTCCAAGGAACTGTCATCTAGCGTGTGAGTCCAGGCTCTCCCATAGTCAGTCTTCTAGCGTATGCGTTCAGGTTTTTCTTAGGTTATTCTTCTAGGGTTTGTATCCAGGCTACTAGACATCTACGAGTATGTCCTGAGTACGGGCGTGTCCAACGTGCACTGCCGCGTGGAGAACTCGCATGGTGTGGTCACTCTATGCCCAGTGAGTGGAAGCACCATGCTCGACGGTCTGCCTGTGGACAAGCCCACCAGGCTCTCGCAAGGTTAGTATCCTGCCTCGTATGTGCAAGCTTCCAGTGGAAAAATCTGGATACCTAGGCTTTTCCAAGATCAATCTTCATGCTTACATGCATAGATTTACATCGGCCCTCTCAATTCTAGTCTTGAAGGCTCTCGCAAGGTTAGTCTTATGCCGCTTGTTTCTGTTCTAGCAATGCCAGTGTTCTCAAAAGCTTCTGCTGTGTGTCCACTGTCCAGGCTCACTCTCAAGGTCAGGCTTCTAGCATGTAGATCCAGACTCTCGTGGTCCTCTAGCGTGGATCTAGGCCAGGCTCTTCCAAAGACAAGTGTGTGAGTCCAGGCACTCCCAAGATCATTCTTCGAGCGGGGCTCTAAACTTTTGCAAGGTTACTCTTCTAGAGCCTGTATCCAGGCTCTCCAAAGGTTCTTCTAGGGTCTGTATCCAGGCTCTTTAATGGTTCTTCTAGCGTATGTGTTCAGGCTCTCACATGCGACATCTATATCCTGGGCACGGGCGTGTCCAAAGTGCACTGCCGCGTGGAGAACTCGCATGGTGTGTTCACTCTATACTCAGTGAGCGGGAGCACCATGCTCGACGGTCTGCCTGTCGACAAGCCCACCAGGCTCTCGCAAGGTTAGTAAGTCTTCTGTTCTGTGTGTTCAAGCTTCTAAGGCTCCCTCAAGGTCAATCTTCGACTGTGTGAAGACTTCAGGCTAGGGTTGGAGAACTAGAACGGCGTGGTGACGCTGTAGCCTCCTGTATAAGGCTCTCGCATGGTTAGTCTTCTGGCGTCTGTGTCTAGGCTTTAACAAGGCTATTCTTTTAGCGTTCTCTATCCAGGATTTTTCAAGGTCAGTCTTCAAGCGGGCCTCTAAGCTTTTGCAAGTTTACTCTTCTAGAGCTTGTATCCAGGCTCTCCAAAGATTCTTCTAGGGTCTGTATCCAGGCTCTTTAATGGTTCTTCTAGCGTATGTGTTCAGGCTCTCACATGCGACATCTATGTCCTGGGCATGGGCGTGTCAAACGTGCACTGCCGCGTGGAGAACTCGCATGGTGTGGTCACGCTATACCCTGTGAGCGGGAGCACCATGCTCGATGGTCTACCTGTCGATAAGCCCACAAGGCTCTCGCAAGGTTAGTATCCTGCCTCATATGTGCAAACTTCTAGTGGAAAAGCCTGGACATCCAGGCTTTTCCAAGGTCAATCTTCATGCTTACATGCATAGATTTACATCGTTCCTCTCAATTCTAGTCTTGAAGGCTCTCGCAAGGTTAGTCTTATGCCGCTTGTTTCTGTTCTAGCAATGCCAGTGTTCTCAAAAGCTTCTGCTGTGTGTCCACTGTCTAGGCTCTCTCTCAAGGTCAGGCTTCTGGCGTGTAAATCCAGACTCCCCCAAGGTTTGTATTCTAGCGTGTATCTAGGCCAGGCTCTTCCAAAGACAAGTGTGTGAGTCCAGGCACTCCCAAGAGCTTTCTTCAAGCGGGGCTCTAAGCAAGGTTACTCTTCTAGAGCCGGTATCCAGGCTCTCCAAAGGTTCCTCTAGGGTCTGTATCCAGGCTCTTTAATGGTTCTTCTAGCGTATGTGTTCAGGCTCTCACATGCGACATCTACGTCCTGGGCACGGGCGTGTCCAACGTGCACTGCCGCGTGGAGAACTCGCATGGTGTGGTCACGCTATACCCAGTGAGTGGAAGCACCATGCTCGACGGTCTGCCTGTCGACAAGCCCACCAGGCTCTCGCAAGGTCAGTAAGTCTTCTGTCCTTTGTGTCCAGGCTCCTAGTGTATATTATTATGTCCAGGTTCCCCCAAGGTTTGTCTTATAGTGTGTGAGTCCAGGACAAGCTGACTGTTATTTAAGGGTAGTCTTATGCCACGTGTTTCTAAGACTGTTTTAAGATTAGTCTTCTATCGTGTGGGTCCAGGAAAAGCCCACCAGACTCTCCCAAGGTCAGTCTTGCTTGATGGTCTAAGCCAACCCGACTCTTGCAACATCAGTCTTCTAGCGTCTGTATCCAGGATCCCTCAAGCTTAGTCTTCTAGCATGTATCCTAGCCAGGCTCTTCCAAGGACTGTCGGCTAGCGTGTGAATCCAGGCTCTCCCATAGTCAGTCTTCTAGCGTATGAGTTCAGGCTTTTGTTAGGTTATTCTTCTAGGGTTTGTATTGTATCCAGGCTATTAGACATCTATGTCCTGGGCACGGGCGTATCCAACGTGCACTGCCGCGTGGATAACTGGCATGGTGTGGTCACTCTATACCCAGTGAGCGGGAGCACCATGCTCGACGGTCTGCCTGTCGACAAGCCCACCAGGCTCTCGCAAGGTTAGTATCCTGCCTCATATGTGCAAACTTCTAGTGGAAAAGCCTGGACATCCAGGCTTTTCCAAGGTCAATCTTCATGCTTACATGCATAGATTTACATCGGTCCTCTCAATTCTGGTCTTGAAGGCTCTAGCAAGATTAGTCTTATGCCGCTTGTTTCTGTTCTAGCAATGCCAGTGTTCTCAAAAGCTTCTGCTGTGCGTGCATTGTCCAGGCTATCTCTCAACGTCAGGCTTCTAGCGTGTAAATCCAGACTCTCGTGGTCTTCTGGCGTGAATCTAGGCCAGGCTCTTCCAAAGACAAGTGTGTAAGTCCAGGCACTCCCAAGATCATTCTTCGAGCGGGGCTCTAAGCTGTTGCAAGGTTACTCTTCTAGAGCCTGTATCCAGGCTCTCCAAAGGTTCTTTTAGGGTCTGTATCCAGGCTCTCTAAAGGTTCTTCTAGCGTGTGTGTTCAGGCTCTTACATGCGACATCTATGTCCTGGGCACGGGCGTGTGCACTGCCGCGTGGAGAACTCGCATGGTGTGGTCACGCTATACCCAGTGAGTGAAAGCACCATGCTCGACGGTCTACCTGTCGACAAGCCCACCAGGCTCTCGCAAGGTCAGTAAGTCTTCTGTTCTGTGTGTCCAAGCTTCTCAGGCTCCCTCAAGGTCAATCTTCGACTGTGTGAAGCCAGACTTCAACTAGCGTGGCATGATGACGCTGTGCCCTCCTGTATAATCAAAACTCTTGCAAAGGTAGTCTTCTAGCGTTCTGTGTCCAGGATTTCTCAAGATCAGTCTTCTAGCGTGTGGGTTCAGGACAAGCCGACCCGGCTCTCGCAAGTTTAGTCTTCCAGAGTCCCTGTCCAAGCTCCCACAAGCTTAGTCTCCTATAGTATATCCAGGCCAGGTTCTTCCAAGGACTGTCATCTAGCGTGTGAGTCCAGGCTCTCCCAAGGTCAGTCTTCTAGCAGTTTGATCCAGGCTTTTCCAAGGTTATTCTTTAAGCGCCTGTGTCCAGGCTCTCCCAAGGTTCTTCTAGCGTCAGTGTCCAGGCTCTCTAAAGGTTCTTCTAGCGTCTGTATTCAGGATCCCTTATGGTTAGTCTTCTAGCATGTATCCAGGCCAGGCTATTCCAAGGATTATCATCTAGCTCATCAGGCTCTTCCATAGTCGAGTCTTCCAGCGTCTGTGTCCAGGCTATCTCAAGGTTAATTACACAAAGCTCTCACAATGATCAAGTGTTCTAGTGTGGGGGGTCCAGGCCCTCCCAATGTTAGTCATCTGCTGTATGATGTCAGAAGGTATGTCACATCTGACGATGCCCAGAGGAGCCTATAATAATACACTCTTTGAGATTAAGGTTTCTTTCGCATAAATAAATAAATTGTTATATCAACCGTCCAGTCTAAACTGTCTTGATATGTTCCTTACTTACCCATCATTCTTACCTCCACAGGTAGCATGTTAACCATCGGCCGCTCCAACTACCTCCGTTTCAACCACCCAGAGGAGGCCAAGCTGATGAAGTCTGTGCTGCCTTCTGGCCACCTCTCCATGGCGCCTTTACAGTTTCAGCCAAGCGACTGTGTGCCAGGTAAAACAACACTGAGAACACAGCATATAGCAGTTTAGCAGTTAGGAGTAAGCTCTTACTTAACAGCCTATACCAGTCCGCTGGATATAGGCGTTTTCGCGGTTTTACACTGTCTTCAGCTTGTCACATCACAGTTCGAACCAAGCGAGTGTGTGCCAGGTAAAACTACTTTTAAGAGTAAGGTCATCATCATCATCCTTTAGAAGACTACCGGATAAGCGTCTACGCGTCATTCTAACAGTCCTGGACATAGGCTTCTATTTCGTTATTTACCATGTCTTCGGACCAGCTTCAACCACCCGGAGGAGGCCAAGCTGAAGAAGTCTGTGCTGCCTTCTGGCCACCTCTCCATGGCGCCTCTGCAGTTTCAGCCAAGCGACTGTGTGCCAGGTAAAACAACATTAAGAATACGGTCTTTTTCAACAGCTTATAGCAGTTAGGAGTAAGCTCTTGCTCAACAGCCTATAGCAGTCCACTGGATATAGGCGTTTACGCGGTTTTACCCTGTCTTCAGCTTGTCACATCACAGTCCCAGCCAAGCGAGTATGTGCCAGGTAAAACTACCTTTAAGAGTAAGGTCATCATCATCATCCTTTAGAAGACCACTGGACATAAGCGTTTACGCGTCATTCTAACAGTCCTGGACATTGGCTTCTATTTCGTCATTTACCCTGTCTTCGGACCAGCTTCAACCACCCGGAGGAGGCCAAGCTGAAGATGTCTGTGCTCCCTTCTGGCCACCTCTCCATGGCGCCTCTGCAGTTTCAGCCAAGCGAGTGTGTGCCAGGTAAAACAACACTAAGAATACGGTCTTTTTCAACAGCTTATAGCAGTTAGGAGTAAACTCTTGCTCAACAGCCTATAGCAGTCCACTGGATATAGGCGTTTACGCGGTTTTACCCTGTCTTCAGCTTGTCACATCACAGTTCGAACCAAGCGAGTGTGTGCCAGGTAAAACTACCTTTAAGAGTAAGGTCATCATCATCATCCTTTAGAAAACCACTGGATAAGCGTCTACGCGCCTTTTTAACAGGCCTGTGACTGGACATAGGCTTCTATTTCGTTATTTACCATGTCTTCGAGCACCCGGAGGAGGCCAAGCTGATGAAGTGTGCTGCCTTCTGGCCACCTCTCCATGGCGCCTCTGCAGTTTCAGCCAAGCGAGTGTGTGCCTGGTAAAGCTTAGGTTTAAGGTCATCATCATCAGCCTATTTAAAGCCAGTCCACTGCTGGATATAAAGATAATAAGAACTGTAAGTATGGAAGCTCACCAGAGCTGCCAAGTCCCAGCTGGAAACACTGAATTTTCGGATAGATTGAGTTTATTCTGTAAACTCAATACTCAATATGTTTATTGCTTCCTTAAGTACATTTAGGTGTTACATATATTTGGAGATCATTAAGGACCCTGTTGGGCGCTGCAAACTTAAAATCTAAGGAGAGGAGGCTTCTTTTTATAGATAGAAAGTTATAGTTTAGTTAGGTACATCGTTAATTAATTTTATCGTCTAGATATTCTTTTATGGTGTAATAGCATTTCGTAGTTAATAGCTCTTTTATTCCTGTTATGAATGTACTATTATTATTTTCTTTTAATAGCACTTTCAGGATCAGTAACCAGTTTTTCAATATCTTGTATAGTTTAGAAATAATCGAGTGAGATCGATTCCACCCTGTATATTAAATCTTACTAGCATTCCTTGAGTAGTTGACCGGGTCGGAATATTATTATAATTTTTTCAGACATCTCACCTAATCAAATGATGGCCACCATGTTACACTTTCGCATCTTTTAAACAATACATACTTATAACAATATTTTATCAGTAACAAATGCTTATAACCTTAACGTTTTATTTCAGCTTACGCGAATCACCATTCAGAACCGACCAACCAATGTTACCAGAACACCTATATGCAGAAAGTCTACGCCGACACCGTCCTATCGCAGCTAGACCAAGAACTAGACATGACCCTCAAAGAAATGTCTAGAAAAAAGCCGCCTGTAGCACCTAGGAAACCCTATAAAGACCTAGACCAATCAGATTCCAATTCAGACCAAGAATCCAGGCCCAAAGTCTCTAGTATCATGGCCAAAGTGTCAAAATTCGAGTATTACGCGAAACAGCAAAAGAGTATTGGAAGAAGCCAGTTTTACACTTCAAATGAAAACGAAATATCTCCTAAAGTATTCAGTTCAAACTCTCTTACAGTCAACACCCCTGCAAAAGATGTCTTAGGGGGCAAAACAGTGCCTAATTACATGAATAAAACAAAACAAGATCAAAAAGTTATATTACTAAACGAAAATAATTCAGTAGACCCCAAAAACTGCTCATACGCCAACGTAGCTATTAGGAATAAAACAAAAATAGACGATATTGTAAGAAATTTCGATGACAGTACAAGAAACGATCATAGATTACCAAAAAAAGTCAACAATGATCAAGTGAAAAACGATCATATTTACGGTAGAATAAACGCGAAGCAAGAAAGCGACAAGAATAATTTTGAAACTTGCAAGAATAATGTGGACAACGGCAAGAATAACATTGAAACTTGCAAGAATAATGTCGAAACTGGCAAGAATAATGTCGAAACTGGCAAGAACAATGTTGAAACTTGCAAGAACAACGTCGAAACTGCGAGAAGTGATACAGAACAGTCTAGAAATGAAGCATATGGAAGGATTGGCGATAGGAATGTGAATCTCACGAAGACTTTGACGCTGCCATCACCGGCGTTTGACAGGAATCCTCAGTACTCACCGGTGTATGCGAACTTCCATAACTATGACAGAAATTTGGAGGCCGAAAATAAGAGGATCAAGGTATGTAACCAAATCTATATGGAATTATAATCTTAAGGCTGAGTTGCACCACCTAATTTTAACACGAAAACCGGTGTTTTTTGTATGGAGTTTGACAGATTTTCGACGTTTGTTATAGTTAAAGTAAGGTGGTGCAACTCAGCCTTAATATACTATCAATTAAAACGAGGTATGTTTACTAATAACCACGATATAGAGAAAAATTCAGATTTTTTCTAGGTTTGGAATCGTATACCAAACGAAATAAAGTTCAAAATAAATTGGCTACTAATCATAATTGGTAAAAGTTAAAGCAACATTTATAACTTCTTCTATGTAGTCAGACATTTTCCATTTCATTGAACAAGATGTAGGGATACCAACAGCAGATCAATACGCAAATACGTATGTCTCAATAAAATATCAACTTTATTACTTTAATATAAGGCTCAAAATCTATTGACTTATCATCGTCCCGCGGCTGGCATAAATGTGAAATACCTTTATCCTAACCAATTCCATGTATCTCAGTTCATAACACACTGACTTACTACGCCGCGACAATTAAAACAATTATTTGTAGGTCTAAGCCTCCGAATACATTGTTATCTCTATAGAATATAGATAGACTTTGTCAAACACTAAAATGTGATAATAGAAACATGTTTTGCAAAACTATTGCTTATATTCCTGGTTTCGTTACTTTTTTAACCGACTTCAAAAAGGAGGTACTTTAATGAATCTTAAAGTACTCTTATAGAAATAGAAAATCTTTATTTGACACGGAAATACTTGCTCTATCTTTCTCTTGTAACATCGTCTTATCGACACGACATATCCGGCTCGAAGGACCAAATCGCTTTGTAGGTCGTTAAGTAAAATTGTTCAAGTTTCATAACTGCGTGGTTTCTATTAAAAAAGTATCTATCATTCTTATTTATTAGCTCTGCCTTTCTTCTTTCTGTTTTAGGTCAGTTCTCTTCTTTTAGGTTCTCTGAATAGTTAATGTTCCTCCTACTTATACAACTTTTAATTAAACTGATAATAAAAACAAACGAACAAACCAAACACACGTGTAGTTTAGTTGAGGAAACAATACCGTTATCAGTTATCGTGATTGTGACGTATTGATAACATTGCAGATGTGATTACATTCAACCTTACAAGGCCGAGATTATCAGACCAAAATTAATTGCCGAGTTATTTTAAAGTGTACTTCGTAAAACAAATGATAGCGTTGAAACAAAAAAAGTGCTAGTGAAAAAAGTTCAAAAGTTAAACGTGATTAACTAACTTGAAAACTTAGTAAAAAGTATTAAACAATTTACAACTAGAAGTGACCTTTGAAATGCAATTAAAAATAATTCTTACAATGTGAAGGTGAAAAAAGCAAAACCAATTAATGTTAATACAAAAGTGGCTTCACAACGAACAAAATCACTCGCTAATTCAAAATTATGTTAGATTTGAACTGAATAAAGCTATCAAATGATCAGTCAAGTGTATCGAAATCAAATTCTTTGTTATTGTAACATAATACCTGAACCAGTGTCAAAAATATCCATTACAACTTTCGTTTAGGAAAACGAAACGGCAGTCTACGTTTGGTTTTTGTGAAGACAGCACTAGTATAATAATGAGTGTTGTGTTTTGAAAACATCGATTGTTGACAGTGCAAAAAATGTGTAAAAAGACAAGTCCAAAAAAAGAACTATCAAATAAAGATCTGCTTAAACTCTTCGTTGCAAATCTGAAGAAAAATACACTAGCGTTAAAACAGTTGAAGGCCTCAATTGATATAGACAATCAGCGAAAAGACTACGAGAAAATTATCGACCTAACGAACAATGTGAACGAAAAATTAGACGTAGTGCACAAACTGCGAAATGATATTAAAATATTTCGTACGATAAACACAATTTTAACCAACCACTACATAAAAGAAACGAGAGACCATGAAAATAGTGTGGATGGAAAAATTATTAGACTAGAAAAACAAATAAAACAATCCTATGAAGATTTGAGGAAAGACATTTCAAAAATCACGGATGGTGTTGCCACTGATAAAAATAAAGATCCTAAATTAAATAAGCTTGCTTCTATTGAAAATAGCAACGTTTTTGTGGTAGGAAATGATATTAAATACAGTCAATATAATCAATTGTATATTAGAAATGAAATATACAACAGCATTATTAAGAAAATTGATAAGCTCTTTTGTGGTATGGTAAGTTTAATTCTGTCACGTTTTATCTTTGCTCAATATTTTTTACACTAACTTTAAATCAAGACATTGTTACTTCTATTTATTTTATCATGTGGATTAATGAAATGTGTAAAAGACTGATAACTGTGTTAATTAATCTAAATGATCAATAATTAAATACATTTTGCGATTTAGTGTAGCCTGTGTAGGATAGCAAGTAATCTGTACTTATCTGTAAATGAATTAGACATAGGTACTTTTAAATATTCTTTTTCTAATTGCAATGCATTCATTTACTTAATTTTTTGTGAAGCAGCCTTTAAATAAGGTAACTCTTACATAACAAAGACTTTTCTAAATTTTGACAGCCTATTCTACGTTATTTTATTAAAGGACAATGAACTGTGACCGTAGCCTAGTTAAATTCTATTATTAGCTTTGTATACTTTGATTAAGCTAAGTGTCAACAAATAATATGTAAACAAGTCTAGACTTCAATTGTTTATATAGACGTATGGACGTCTTCTGTACATAAAGCTTACCACTGGACCTTACATACCTAGTTCTAATACGTTCGATTTTGCAGCCAAAGTGTCCTAGTGTGCAAGACCGTATGACAATTGCGTTAAGAATACACTATTCCCTTTCTAGGCGTACCAGGACAGAGTGAAGGAAGAAGAGCAGAAGGAAGCCGAGACAGCACGCCTCGAGGAAATACTGAATATGTGCGCTGAGTACGAGAGGCAGATCGCGTCAGGTAAAGTGTTAAATATAGATTTTTTAGCTACCTTAGGGAATGTGTTCACTCAAAAATTCCGTATTTACAAGAAACACTGGATATTTGGCTTGCATACATAATGGATTACAATAACAACAAATATCGAGCCTTTACCGCCATTTTAGCGCAACCGACAAAAACCAAATTTTACATGAGAAGGTTTTTTTTAATTATCTTTAATCAGAAGTGTGCTAATAACAAGAAAAATGACATACGTTAATGATTTTTAGAGATTTAAATACATGACTGAAAATAAAACAAAAATAATGAGTATTTATACCATTTATGGCGCATACAATATTTTTGCTGTCACAGTCTTTAGATATTCGGGCGTTTACGATAACATTACCTATCAAAGTTACTATGTCCAAGAAATTATAATAGTTAAAAAATAGGCATTTTAAAAGGTTTTTAAATGAAATATCCACATAATAATCAAAAAATATTTATTCATAGTAATCGTTAGGAATAATGAGATCAAATTATACCTACTGGAAGCATCAATGACTAGTTTTTTTTTATGCTTCCGACTGCATTTGCAAACACTAAGTTGTCTTTTTTCTTTCTTTTCTGTTTATTTTTGTAATATTCGAATACATGTTAATTTACTATTCGAATACTAATTTGAAATTAAAAATTCGAATATTCGATTGCAATCTCTAATTGCATCAATAAACACCCACAGTGAAGCGCTAATGTTGCTTGCGATAACAAGTGCGGTCGCTTGCGACAAAATGCGTGTGTCGCTTACGTTAAGTTTTAGAAAAAATGTGTATTCACGATAATTTTAGCACTTGCTATAACTTTGTAACGGTTTTTTTTGGCGGGAAACACCAACAGGGATGGGTCCGTTACGGTTTGAAATACTAGTTTCGATAAAAAACGGTTTTTTGACAAAAGTGTCGCTTACGATAATTTGGCGGTAAAGGCTCGATATTACCTACATTGACTCTTGGTCCAATATTAAACGTAATTCATTTATTTGTGCTTTGTTTATATTTAACCACTAATTAGTATTTTCGCCATTAGTTAACTGTCTCCTCCTCTCGCTAGCTTGCAACCTACAATTTTTATAGTCGTTCAACCCCTTGTGGTAAGCTAAAATATGTTTGTGGTACGAGTGGGTTCATCACAATAGTTCAGTGGCGGTAGGGTTCGAACCCACGTTCCTCGAATCTCGATATCGACACCCTTGGGCTATAGTCGCTTCAAGATTGTTGTTGACATGCGACACAAATTAGAAATTTAGGCTGAGTTGCACCACCTAACTTTGACCGTTACTATGACGATAACCGGTGTTTTTTGTATGGAGTTTGACAGATTTTTGACGTTTGTCAAAATTAAAATAAGATGGTGCAATCCAGCCTAAATGTATCTCAGTTCAATAGCTAAGTATGTTGCTATTTACAGGTATCCCCATCACACCGACAGAGAAGCGGTCGCACAACAAGATAATAACCAACGGCTCACTGCCTCGGAGTGGAGCCCTGAATAACCCTAACTTCGTGCAAACCAGCGACGGGTACTATAAGTAAGTGGATTTATCATTATCATCATCACTAACATCATCATCATTCCATTTCCGAACAACTTCTCAGATTATAGTTGTTGCAATTCACGAATCTGTGGTGGATCGCAAACGCTCTTTTTCAAGTTTTAATAGACATTACACTACCGTTATGTGCATGTACACGTACGCACAAGTAAAGCTCACTCGCCTTCGTGTTGCAAGAACTATAGCATCCTTATCAAGATGCGTGTCAAAGAGTAGGACTAAAGAAAACTAAGGTGATTAACCCTCAAGGCAATGGTTAAACAGTTGGAGTTATATTTTGAGCCTAATTTATACCTATGTTTTAATAATCATAAATAGTAATTTGAGCTTAATATCGATTTTTGCGTAAGAAACATTTCTGTTTATTGACCAAGAAAGATGTAAGTCAAGCAACCTTCTCAGAAATCTATTCAAACAGTCAATCCTTATTTAATTTTCAAATATCATGTATTAAAACTATTTATTTATCCACGTCTATTTCTCTCTCATTTCAGGTTCGATACTAGTCAAAACCGCAACAATTCCATTAGCAAATCCCTCCCAATCCAGAGGAACCTATCAAGCTACGAGAACTTCGACCTCTCCCAATCCCCCGAACAAACCACCCCAGAAGTGACGATCAGAAACCAAAGCAACTACGAAAACGTAGGGAGGATGGACGAAATCGGAATCCCAGTGTTCGATGACCCCAACGAACTATCTAGTCCCATTATGATTAGGAAATACAACCAAAGCACCGATAGAATACCCAATATGTCCTCCCCGATAGGCAGTCCTTACGAAAACGTGTATTACAGGAACAATGTGTATGGGAATCTCAAGCCAAAATCGCCTAACACCCAAAGTCCCAGGACGCGGATAAAGACGACTTTCGCTCACAAAATTCTACCTTCACCACAATATTTTATATTCCCAACGCCGCCTCCTAAAGATAATTCGAAAATTCCTGAATTCGGTCAAAGTAGTTCTCCTAGTGACAGTCAAAAGAGTCCAACTCAAAATGAAGTCAAAAGTAATGAAAATAGTCCAAATGACCACACTGAAGTAACAAGAAGAAATAAGTGTGAAGGAATAGAAAAGCAACTTAGTTTAGAAGAAGAAATCCCAATGATCGATGATTCAGATGTAACTAATGATATTGAGTTTAGATATTCTAAAATCATCACAGATAAAGACGAAGAAGTAAAAAAGGATTGGCCTAAAGAGCCTGAGATAGTTCTGACGAAGAATCTGAGCTTTGATGACGTCAAAAAGGAATTAATGGCTGATATCCCGGAGTTAGAAGAATTCGAAAAAGACTTAAAACAGAACAAACAAGAGAAACTAATGAAGCATATCACTGAAACTATCAAAAAGGTCGACGTAGAAGCTGATTCTATAGACAGTGCGGTCGTGGACGATAATACGGATGATCTGAAGACCAAGTACGATAGTTTGAAAGATGAAAGAAGGAAATTGGTGGCTGAAATCCATGAAATCAAATGCAAGATGACTGAGATTAGGGCGCAAGAGGATGATATTTTGAGAGAGGTAAGTTTTAAAAATTACCTTTCTAACTAATATTTTATAAGCATACAAAAGCCATTTATAGGCATTTTTAAATGCCTGTTTGCAAAAACAAATGAGTTTTTTATAGGTTGTGACAGGTCCCCAATCCCATAGTAAAATCCATGTTGATGTATATAATTTATGTATTTTGTCCTACTAATATTATAAAAGCGAAAGTTTGGATGTTTGTTACTCTTTCACGCAAAAACTACTGAACGGATTTTGATGAAACTTTACAGTGTTATTGTTTATAACCCTGAATAACATATTATAGGCTATAAATTATCACGATCTGTGACAACCATAGTTCACGCGGGTGAAGCCGCGGGCAAAAGCTAGTCATTTATAGTGTTCCACCATCTATTAAAATTTTCTTATCACTGTAATAATACCAACAATTTATTTACAGCTTGAAATGGAAAAGGCACTGATCAAAGGCGAATACGACTCCGAAATCGCCATCTTAAATATAGAACAGAAGAAGAAAATAGAACTGGCTGAGAGTGCGAAGAGGATAGAAGAAGAAATACGGCAACTGAAAGAGAAGCAAGAGGCGCGTCAGAACGAGATGCGAGATCGGGTGGAGATCGCTACTATGAAGGTTGAAAGGTAAGTTATTTTTATATGTCTGTTTAATTTGTGGACCTTAAGGCAAGGGAATAAGGTTGAAAATATGTTGAGAACTATATTTGCTCTGCCTTATAAGAGTAGACGCACACCGTTGATTTTTAGTTGGCCGATAGTTGTGCCCGATTTTCATTTGTATGAAGAATCGGCCAAATCGAATCGGCGTAGTGTGCGCACTCCCATACATGCCCATACTGATCAACTGCCCGACTAAACTATCGGCCGACGAAAAATCAACGGTGTGCGCTTACTCTAAAAGTCGAAATCTTAAGTCATTCAAAAACAAAAAGAAATATTGAATACCTTATAAACATTCATGTATTGTTTTCTAACTTCCTTAGTGTTGAATGTATAGGATTTTTTCATTTATGATTCTAAACCTATCTTAAACTAATTTATATATTTATAGCAGTCCTAATAGGATAAATCAAAGGTACTGAATCAAAATGTTATGAAGTAGATTCTCATTGTGATTGTCCATTTCGTGTTGTGTGGTGTCGCTATTCGAATAATTTTCTTGTACTCGTAAATTAATATACAACCCGGTTGTGTTAACTGCGCACCTAACAGCCGTGACGTCACATCGACGCTCTGGTACGGACGGGGAGGTGTGAGGGGGAGCGGGAGGGAGCGAGGTGTGTAGTAACCTCGATTGGGTTGTAAAGTATAGATCGTTTCATCCACGAAGACGCGCCCCACCATTCTTCCGCTAATGTTTGAGTGTTATCGGTACACGCTAAATCATCCATGAGTGCACACGCACACTACAATAATGCCTTACGGATTGCTCGGATCAAACTCCCCGCACCCGCGCGACCGAGACCAAACATTGGTGGGGCGCGTCCGAGTGGATGAAACGATCTGTAGCACCATATACACTCAACATCAAATAAACCGCACCTTCCGCGACGCGAACTTTGAAGATTTTCTCCTGACATAATCATGGTGCCCAAACAATATTGGTGTTATTTGAAAGCTTAATAAATATCCTTAAAGAAAAACACATTTAATTTCTTAATAAACGATTAACATATACCATAATGTGACTTGAAAAAAGACCTCACTTTGGGCTCACCTCTGGGATCAATTAGACCAAATTGTATGGATATAAAACCAAATAATGATCGCACGTGTCCTCTTTAACAGATGGATAGCGATTAATCCCAACTTAACAGTTTTATAGCCATAAAAGGTGGCTCAAGTATAACTACCTATTTTTTGAAGAAGTGACTCTGGATCCTTCTAAAGACGCATTTTTGGGGTAAAAACCTTTCCTTTAATGAAATGAAGTTTAGAACTAGACTTTTAAATAGTGCCAATATTGGTAGGAAGTGGGGATGCATACGTTTGAAAATGCTTGTCGCGGGAGGTGCGATTTATTTGATGTCGAGTGTATATATATTCTGTTTTTATCTAAACTGTATATTTATGTATAGGCTGGAGAAAGACATGAAAGACAACACAGCGACTTTGGAAGAAACCTTTCCTTTAATGAAATGAAGTTTAGAACTAGACTTTTAAATAGTGCCAATATTGGTAGGAAGTGGGGATGCATACGTTTGAAAATGCTTGTCGCGGGAGGTGCGATTTATTTGATGTCGAGTGTATATATATTCTGTTTTTATCTAAACTGTATATTTATGTATAGGCTGGAGAAAGACATGAAAGACAACACAGCGACTTTGGAAGAGCTTCAAAACGCGCAAGATATCTTAGACAACGAGACCAAAATATCTGAGGACCTGGAGTTCCAGCATTTGGAGGAGGAGTCTGAATTGTAAGTAGTACTTTAATTAAATAGAATAAGTACGGTTTTTGCAGGGCAACTGGATCATTTGGAGTACGGTTAAATGTCTGATAGTAAATATCATCAGAAAAGTACCTAAAACAATAGAAAAGGTTCATTCTAAATTGTATTTTTGAGCAGGTATAGACGTGATATTGATAAAAACACTGATTTTAAGCGATGAATTCAGCAAATGTAAAAACCCTACTCCTTTATTAAATAATTTATTCTTCTAACAATATTAATGTTTCACAGATTGGCGAACAGAGAAGACATCCAGAACGAAATCATAGTCCTGACCAAGAAGATCGAAGCACAGAAATCTCGAATACTTAACTTGAAGTCGGAAGCGAACAATAACCTCACTTCAGCTTTAGACGAGACCAAAGTCCTACGGGCGGAGTACTTAAAACTGCTCAACCGCGTCGAAGAACTGACGGGCAAAGTGCAGACCATAGAGAAAGAACTCAAACCAATCGTGGCGAAGCTAAACGACATCGAACGAACCCAATCGCCAGATAGCGCGTTTTACACGGACCAAACGCGAACCAAATCCGGCGAGTTCGGGTATTCCCCGCAAAGTTCGGACAGCGACGAAATTGATATAACAAAGATATCCGAAGATCACACTAAACAAATGAAGGATAAGTTCAACTCGATAGATCAGATGTCGCAGTCGATGTTCGTAGAAATCGAAAGGCGAGTGATTGGTGACATCGATCCTATTGATAACGATAATCGATACAGCGAAAGTCCGTCTAAGTCTTCCACTTCTTCGAAGGAGAAGAAAGGATTTTGGGAAAGGAACTTCGATTCGCTCAAACGTAAGAAGAAACAAAAGACACCGGAGAAAATCGACATCATGTCTCAGAGCTTGAACGAGAATATGCTCTTCAATACTGAGAACATTGAGACCGATTTCGACAAGTTCAACAGCTTGAGACATTCCAAGAAGAAAGAGAAGAAAGATACTGGACCTGTCAAAAGTAACTCCTCATCGAAAATCCCTACATTTGCCGCGTTAGGGAAGATCATGAAGAAAGACTCTTTTGGCAAAAAATCCAAGGATCACGTCAAAAACGATGACGTAACCGAAAACAATATCAAAAACCGCTACGTGAAAAACCCGAAACCAATCCTAACAGATAACAAATACATCAAAGCAAAGTCGCTTTCTCCGGACAAAATAAACTACACAGAAGATTTAAAAGAAGAAACAGCAGAAGAAGTAAAAGAGGCGAATCAGAATCAAAAAGGGCACGTGACATTTGAAACCATGCGTAAAGCGTCCATAGACAACGCGAATTCTGCCAAAATCCTACACAGAAAGAGCTGTGGGGATGAACCTAGTATTAAAACCGCTGTGGATGCGCAAAGGATATCTGATTCCGGGAAGATTCCTTCTCAGGATGATATAGATAGGATTTCCAAGGTGACGATGGACGCCCCGATATTGTCAAGCGATACTGACATGAATTCGCTTGGGAAGAGGACACTGGATAGTCTAATGGAGATCGAGAGGAAGAGGATGGAAATGCTGGAAGAACAAGGTGAGTGGAAGAATATTGAAGCGACGATAGCTGAACGGTATAGGTGTCGGAAAGCCGATTCGTTATCTCGCCGATTGTGGCGAACCCACTCGTAACACAAGCATAATTAATTTATTTTGAAATTGACTCCATAGTTACTTGTGTTCTTTAGGGGAAAACGGCAACCCGAAATGGTTACTCTTATGAAACCGCGCTGTAACATTCATATTTCAAAATAATATCACTTTATTTCCACCTTATTTATTTACTCGAAGTTTCTAGCTCTATTTTTACATATGGGATACAGTACAGTACAGGGAACACAGTATTAAATCACTTGTATATTGTATGTATTCTCAGTTTGGTTTGGACATTGCAAGCTAGTCCAAAAAATGATATGAAATCTGTGCTTCGTGAATTGGTCCGATTGAGCCATGTATAGATGACCCACGCTGAACTGTCCCACCAAACTCAATGACAGGGGGGCGCTACCATCGTTCAACTATATGGTTTCCAACATGGCAAAAATCTGAACCAGCGATCGGGTATTGACGGTGGCGCCCCACTGTCAATGTCATCGACAGGACAGTCCAGTATTTTGGAACTATAAGACGCGGCTCATTGAGTCTGACACCAGGCTTTTGACGTCATATGTCATGGTCGGCATTTTTAGTTTGACCTGTAAGTTTCATGAAGTTAGCTCATCCCATTTTTTTCCACAGGCTGCCAAGTAATAGAAAACGAACGTGAGAAGATATCAGAACTCAAAAGGCGGGTCCAGGATGAGACCAAGAAACTCTGGGACCAGAAGTACCGGTCCGAACAGGCCCGGTCCTTCGACGAGACCTGTCAGATCCAGCCGAGCCACTACGACGAGTTTGACAGGACCAATGACAGATTTGACAGAAGCGCTGTGGAGGATTCCAGTCTGATTGATGATAGCTTCATGAGCTCGGCCATTTTTGAGGAGAGGTAAGTGTTTTGTTTTTGTTATTTTATGACGAAAAGATTTTTAGTTATTTTTCTAATGCAACATAAATACTTTTTTACCGGATTAAGATCATAGCAGACTTATCAACTCGGAAAGGTTCAACACCGTATCGCCTTTTGCGAGCTGTCATCGCCTTGTCAACTGCGAGGCGAGTAGTTTACGTTGCGGTGTGGAAAAGTGTGCGTTGCTGTATAGAGTTACATACCGCCTCGAGTTGATACGGTTAACTTACGATTCATTTCCGGGTTGATAAGTGTGCTATGTCCTTTACTAAGTGTTGTTGAGTGTAAAACAAATCTTCAAAAAAAAAAAAGATAAGAATCTATTTTATATTTAAACAGTTCAAAGTAATATACCGGGCTTCCTTCCTTCAGTATTGTTTCTCGCGGTGTTGGTTGTAGCTAAAATTTCATTGTTAGTAGGTATTTACACGTATATTATAGGAGCAAACAACCGAGAAGTAAATATATTAATGTTTATGTAATGACTATTAGCACAAAACATAACAGAAGGTAAACTCCATACTAAGTGCGCTCGAGCCACACACACATAGACACCGCTCACGTACGCGTTATCGGGACTATTTTGTGCTATTAGTTACAGATGTTAATGCATTTATTGAGAAAAAAAGAAACAATACATACATAACATTGTAATATCCTACCAAATGCACTAGTCTATCCTCACCAGCTAATTTTACACCCATCTTTGAATGTAGTAGCAATTAGTCACACCTGTGTTTACAAACATCAGTGAAAGCGACGCGACTGTGTTGACAGCTTGTCTACTAGTATATTTACACACAGCCAGTCAAGTGTGACAGATGCACGCGATAGTAGCTCTTATTACGATGGCTATAAGGGCGGTGGTCGTGTCACGGTTGATGTGCTGTGGTTCAGGAAATGTGCTAGTTACTTATAAGTTAATTTATAACGCGTTCGTCACCTGCACCTGACTTAATTTATTTGTCGTTTTTATACAAAGGGACTTTTCCAAATAGGAACAGCGTACCTACATACATATTGACATTGCCTTATTAACCCATAAGCAAATTAAGCATTTGCTTAGGGCATCAGGTCTTGGGAGGCACCAAAAAGAGTCCCAAAAATTTGTTGGTCCCTAAAATTATTCGCGAATTCAAGACTCATAAAAGTATGAAATCGCAATTCAATTAGTAAATTAGCTTGGGGGGTGAGTGATACCGGACTCAAGAAAAGAAAGAAATACACAAAAGTCTCGGCACAATTTAGACGGTCTTATCGGTATACAACGATCTCTTCCAGACAACCTAGTTAATTAACTAGAGCGAGCTATTAAAAATTATTTTGTTATAATTAGTGTAACTACCTAGGTTTATTTTTTTACCCATAAAAGGAATAAAGAAAGCGACAGGTGATTTTTTCAAAATATAAATTATATTCCATTTAACTAACTAATGTCAGAAAATACTTATTCCCGTAGATTAACTGTTACGTCCAACCCGTTCCGCTTATTGGGCGTATCAAAAACTTCTACACATCATTACACAGTCTACACGATGGGATATAGACCCTTATGTGACTATAATTGAGTCTATATTGCTATGACAATGTGTAGGTTTATGTGTACATGTTGCAGTCAAAACTCATAATCGGTCAAAATGACTGACTGGGAAAATCAGTAAAAAAAAAGATACTGAACAAGGGCATCGGTCAAAACCACTTGACTGATTGTTTGCAGTCAGAAGTGGTTATGACCAAGGGCGTTAGTCAAAACCACTTTTGACTGCAAACAATCAGTCAAAATAGCTTTCGCATGATACTACTTATCTTTTACCTGATGAATGCCTAGATTTCTTTAAAATATGAGAAAGAATAAAAAACAACATTATTGTAGTAACTAAGAGGTGTGATCAAATCACATAAACGTTACGTTTTAAAATGGTTTTATAATTTTTGATGGTTTTTCTATTCATTTTCACTAATCATAACACTTTTTTTTACTGATTGGTAATTTTTTTAATCAGGCGAAACCACTTTCGCCTGATTCTTTGCAGTTAAAAGTGGTTTTTCTAACGCCCTTGGTCAAAACCATTTGACTGATTTTTCCAGTCAAAAGTGGTTTTGACCGACTAGGAATTTTGACTGTAACATACACACATGGACACAATGCACTCACAATCAGCAGTGATAAGATACTATACGACTATTCGAGTACAGTCGCATCGTAGATCGTGCCGCGACCGGTACCTATTACATATTTACGTGTAATATTGTTATGTGATAAAAATATGTTTGAAAACATGATAGGATAGTGAAATTGGGTGATTGATGTGTGTGGAATTTACTATTTTTGTGTGATGGTGGAAAATATTGGAGGAATTGTGGAACTTAGTGGTTGTATTTAGGAATAAATAAATTAAGTGTGTTATGTGTACAGGTATATTTTGGGAGAAATCGTATTTTGTAGCAGTTGATTAAGGATTAATATTAATCCATAACTACAGTCATGATCAGGTCATTTAGTCTCCATTGCAGGAGCACGACCCTCTAATTCAGGGTTTCCCAATTTTTTTTTGCCAAGGAACCCTAATTGATTATACTTTTCCTAGCGGAACCCCCGTACTACTCCGCCCGCACGCCCTGCCCCTCCCTTGTGCGTAAACAAGTCGGTGCGAGCGAACAACGTCGGTCACGAAACGTGGGATAATATTTTTTACGGAACCCTTGCGGCCTTTCTGGGGTTCCGTGGACCACCATTCGGGAACCGCTGCAGTCTAATTTACCAGATGCAGGATTTGGTCTACACTCCCCACGATGGCCAGACCTACTACATACAACTATTTAAAACTTAATGAACTTCAAATTAATAGGAGAGTTTGTGCTACAGTATAAATAGGTTATTCTAAAACCTAATACTTTTTCTTTGCTTCCAAAAAATCACTCATGTAATTTCTTGTATTGATCCATGGTGGAGTAGTCACCATAATTACAGGATTCAACCAACTTAATCGATAGGGAGTATGATTCCCTTTTCTAAGGTCACGTTAATATTACATGGACTCGGTGGGAAAAAAAGAAAAATAGAGTCGTGGACCTTTGGGAATAATCCAAACGAGGGGTGTCATGTCAGAAATTGATGTCGGTTCATGGTATGGGAGGGAGCGGCGAGGGAGAAGTGACATTGACATATTATGACGTGACAGAGCATATATAAATCTGAAGGGATCTGAAGTCTCGCTGACGTTTGACAGAACAAAGACCATCCCGTGGCGATTCCATACCATAGGCCCATAGGCACTGAATGAGTTAAGCTAGGCCTGGTTGTGACTACAATTTAGAAAAAAATATTATAAGAAATACCAGTAATTGCAACGTTTGGTAGAGTTTGAGGAAATCGTTATCTTAACGTTTAGGATCAAGGTAAACCCGTGACATTGATCGAGCGTTTTGATTCATTTCAAGTTCGTTTATCGATTCGTTCTGTTGTAATGCAGCACCTAAGTAAAGCAGTACGAAGTAGGTACAGTCAGCGTCAAATATTTCGTGACCCAAAGTGGCCAAAAAGTTGACAACACAAACTTATTCGAAGTAACAAAGAAATGTTGCGAACTTCTTGGCTACTACTATTACGAACTATTTGAAGCTGACTGTACTAGATAACCCAAGATATTCTGTGACACGGCAGATTTTCACAAATAAGTAGGTCACCTAAATTATGTAATCTATTTGCAAATTAATTAAGTGGATATCAATCCCTTACAACAATATAGAAATATTGCATTTTCCCGCATGAATCTAGATTTGTCACAGAGCTAGATGTATGTGAAAATACTTAAATAACATACAAACCAACAGTTCGATTTTATTGTCTAGCTAATTTAACTTATACTTTTAAGTGTCTCTTAGAAATAGATATGATTTGATTTTGAAGTAGGTAGGTACAGTCACGGAATGAAAAGGTTCGTCAGTTTTCAAATTGATTCCTTCAACGAATCGCGAGCACATATTACCTTTTGAAACTATGTTACAGAATAATCTCGAGTTAGAGAAAATAATCTTTAACTGTTCGTCAGTAAAGTTCAAAATTATTCAGATCAATGTTGTTTGACGATTTATCTTGTCAAGAAGGTTACTATGATTGATAAACTAAAACCTTCTTGTTGGTTCAATCTGCCATTATTATTTCAAAAACTATTGTCAATTGGTCAATGTCATCATTGCATTGCACTGATGGGATAGAAAAATAAACAAGCAAAACCTTATTCGTTAGCAAACGTCATATTTATTTAAATGTTAGCAGCACTGTTTCTTGCACTGTTATGTTGGCAGGTTTGACTCTTACAGTACCTAGTGCAAGCGAAAACCGACACTAAGGTGACGAACCTTTTCATTCCGCGACTGTACATGGCGCCACAACTCGACCGTTTAACATTTTAGACAATAATATGAATTCTAGCCACAGTTTTAATGCATTCAACTAGTATAAGAATTGGAGAAAGACGCTAGAAACCAGATTGACTGGTATGATAAGTTTATGTTATTGAATCTATTATTTTTAGCATTTAGCTCACAATCCTAACATTTCTAACTACTATCTTCTTAAACAATCTAATCTGACGTAAGGACTTAAGCCTGTATTCACAAACGGTGCTTGCTTAAGTGGAGCAGCAAATCGAACGCACAGCGTTGAATAGATCTCTATGATTGGTTCGTGTTGACACACGAACACACACAGGGTGACCCCTGTGCGTCCACGCGCACTGTGAGACCTCATAGTTAGTTTGTGAATACGGGCGTTAGTCGAGATTCTAGGTAATTCTTGAAATTTTGTTAATCAGGAAGCAATTCTAGACTCCACAAATTCTAGCAATTCTAGACTCTAGCATAACAGACTTAACAATTGTTGTAGCAAAGTAGCTCATATCAGAACTGCTTAAGCTACATATTTTATGGAGTGTTGTAGTCTGTCTGTACAGTCAGAAACAAAAAAAGTTTGGTCCCTAC